CTGAGCTTTAGAGTCGAATCTTATGTTCTAGGCACATTGATTCCATTAATAGTTTTTAATTTTAATTCTTTCCTAACTTGAATGTTCAGTGAAAATATAATACAATAAAGTAAGTCACTTTGAACACTCCTTCTCTGCCTGCAACTTACCTGCATTTTGCCTTGAACAAAGCAGTACCAGCACGACACCCTGCCAATGCTCTAGTTCTAGTTCAGCTCATGATCCAATGAAATGGTAATGCCCCCAAACACCACTAGGTGGCGGTAAAAGTCAAAGGCAGGAAGCCAATGGATTCAGAACTGAAGCTTGATGAAGAATGTCTAAGTGGTATTCTTCCTGTATTATTATCCTGCTGCTCTGAACTTCTAAGTAAGTAAATACATTACTACTGAGAACCTTTATTACTTAGAAAAACAAAATATATAAAAGCATGAACAACAATGTGAACTTCTTTTATTCAAAAGAATGAGTCCTATGACCAAAAAAACTCAGTAATTCTCATAATGAGGTATGCAAAAGTTTAATACTTATTTGAGCTACTGTTGGCTGAGAAAGAGATCTTCTGCTAGCTCATATCTGTATTTTATCTAATTCTGTGCTTTCGTGTTTTACCCTGCTTTTTTAGATCCAACCCGAATAGTTCAGAGTATCAAGTTACTTGGAGTTTGGAGTTCCCCTGATTCGCTGTCCCCTTGATGTGCCTCTGATCACTCACATGAGTCTTTCTGCCTGGAATCTGCTCTACTATCACGCGCACGTGCATGTGCGTGTGTGTGTGTTTCATTACTTACTGAGCTCAATGCTGGGAATAAAATAATGCAGTCTCCAACTCAGTCTGCAACCCCAGTGGTAGAAACAGGCCAGGTCAGGGCTGAGGGCAGTGCAGCCAGCACAGATGACAGGGTTGGGGGAGAGTCCCTGAGGAAACGCAGAGAACACCCTCCCGGCAGCCAGGGGGTGGGGGTGGGGTAGGAGAAGCCTTCTCTCCTGTGAGTGGAGAGTAGGACTGCAGAGCAACAGTGGAAAGGATAGGAAAGAAGCTGGGCAATGGCTTGAGGGTTTGGGCATGCAATGTTTTCAGAAAAGCTAAGAGACACGAGGATACAGTACTGGGAGGTTGGACAACTGGGTTAGGTTGGTGAAAATGGTGCTTGCTGCCAGACTAAGGACCATGAATTCCTTAATCCTTTCTGCCACTAATGGCTTTTGGGCAGGAGAAGATGGTGATCAATGCTCTGTTTCTATTAATACTGAAAGGCTGCACATGGATTAGCTGTGAGCATGGACTCCAGCATTGAACCAGGGTTCAAATCCTAGCTCCACCTCTTACTCTTTGTACCACCTTGCACAAATTATTCCCTTCTCTGTGCTTCAATCTGCTCATCTCTGAAACAAGAATAATGAGACTTTCACCTCCTAGAGTGGATTCAGGAACTCCTGGAGCAATGCAAGTGTTCTATGTCACATGGCTTTCTGGTGGGGCTGGGAGAGGCTGACTGAGGCAGGGACACAGGAGGCTGGTGCAGGAACCGCAGCAGGAAAGGCTGAGTGGAAGGTGGAGGAGACAGGAGGTGGTACAATGCATGAGACCCAGGAGGCAGGAATACAGAGGTTGGAAATGGCAGGGGGAGCAATGGGATGGGAGCCCTGAGAAAGGGCGGGTCCACAGGGAGGCTCTGGTCTCTGTCATGGGCAACCGGGTGGACCAAGATCCCTTCTCACAGAGGGGGGTCCTGGAGGACGGTCAGGTGAGGGGG